CACACTTTCCCTAATGATTATAAGTGAGAAAGAATTAATATTATGATTGATCTTCTTCATCTAGTTCTTAAAGCAACAGAATATTTTTCAGGTAGCTCATATCCAATGATCTCTGATGTTCATTTGACTGTTGGTAGACTTATTCGCTATTTTGATTATTTTATTGATAACAGATCACATTTGGATGAAGAGTGTATAATTGCAGACTCTATACGTTACAAATTAAATAAATACTGGTCTCTTCTTGATGAAAAAATTACAGTGGCTGCAATTCTTAACCCATCATCAAAACTTAAAATGTTTTTACCTGGTGAAAAAAGAACTGCAGCTATTACTAGTTTATATCAAAAAATACTTTGTTATAGGCCATTAACCTCAGTAGAAAATATCAACTTAATTGTCTCTAAAAATAAAAAAGTATATTTTGAATCCTTTTTTTCAGAAGAACAAGAAACTAAACAACTACCAGAAGAAGAATTAGATTTATACTTATCTTTGCCTAGATGCCAAAATAATCCACTTAGTTGGTAGGAACAAAATAAGCATAGATTTTCAACTTTAGCAGTTATAGCGTGAAACTATTTAGCTATTCAGAGAACTAGTATTCCCTGTGAAGAAGCTTTTTCTCTAGCGACAGAACAATTACAAAAGTTTGTAGCTGTCTTCTTCCTGAAACTGCCCAGGCATTGCTTTGTCTGAAAAGCTGGATGAAACAAAACATTGAATTATAGATATAAAAAGCTATTACAACTTTAGTACTGTTTGATGAAATTAAATTATAAAGGTAGTTAGCAATATTAGCATTAGCATATGAGTGCATAAGAGTGAAATTCTGAAAACCATTCATAGTAAATCATTAAATCAGCTTCCAGGTTTTCACTTATATATATAATTATTAGCATTAATATTAATTGTAAGTGTATATTAATTGATATATATAGTATTGAATAATTGTACTTACAAAATTTGAAATGTATACCTGATACATACATACATACATACATATATAATTAGTAAGCTGCAGCTCAAAAATACAACTTAATTACATTTCAAGCTGTAGCTTATTGGCTTGGAGTGGCTTGGCTCTATTATGCAGCTAAAGCCAGTTTCAAATAAGCTGTTAACAACTCTAATAATCAGTTATCATCTATAACATGATTAATAACAAGTACTTATTGTTCACTACACATCTAATAACTATATAATATATTCCTTATTAATTCTTATTATTTTATTTACTGTGTTTTTATTATAACTATATA